CAGGTGCTTTTCATCAACAACAAGGGATTTATCTACAACCTTCATCTCATGTTCCTGAGCATCAGGAGGTGTCAAGCTGACTCCTTTGCTATCAGAAAAATAAATTAAATGGACAGCAGGCGCACATAACAATATGTGCTTTTATATACAGTTAATCCCTTGATGTTTTATCGCTGAAGGTTACTGGGAATTTGGAGGCTTCATCAAACCTTGAACTAATCCTGTGCAGCACTACACAGGTGTTCTATTTTTAAAGGCCGTTCAGCTCTCTCTGAGTCTCCAGTGTTTTCATCTCACGGGGTTGCTTCTGAATTTCCAGTCTGTAATTTTTGATTATCCGAGAGAAACGAGTTGAATCTGCAACAAAATGTTGCAACATGGGAGTGCTTCCTCTTCCTGTCACCCACCCTTTGCCAATTTTCTGCCCTCCCCCGCTCCCAACAGTGTGTCAACATTCTATCGCAGCTGAGGATACGCAGTCCCCATTGGACTGCTTTTGGGTCTCCCTAAACCCTTAAAGGTTATTTCCCCCCCCCTTTTTGGGTGTGTGTGTGTAATTCTGCAAACCTGCTCCTGCCAACCTAGCAGTTCAAAAGCACATCAAAGTGCAAGTAGATAAATAGGTACCACTCTGGCGGGAAGGTAAACGGTATTTCCGTGCGCTGCTCTGGTTCACCAGAAGCGGCTTAGTCATGCTGGTCACATGACCCGGAAGCTGTACGCCGGCTCCCTCGGCCAATAAAGCGAGATGAGCATGCAACCCCAGAGTCTTCTGCGACTGGACCTAATGGTCAGGGCTCCCTTTACCTTTACCTTTACTTCTGCAAACCTTAGCTGCCCAGGTCTGCTCATACCCACCCTCCCTCTTATGTGTGGGTGATGCTTTTTTATAGTTTTCATTAAATATTTTCTTGTGCTACAAAACAAACAAACGGGGGAAAGTACACCATTTGTCTGCACTTTCAATTCATAGAGTCTTTTTCACAGTTCGCTTACATATAGTGAGAGAAACTTTTCTAATAGACATCTTGCGGATGGGGGAAAAGAGAGGAGAGATATATATCTACTGGTATATGGGGGTTGTTGTTCTTTCATTCTGTTGCATAGTGTAGGGCTTTTTGTCAGCATCATGTGGATTTATCATTTGTTTATGTATATGTTTGGCGTGGGATGGGGGATTAACTGGGTGATGCCATTTTAGCTATATAAACACTCATAGCCTGAACAACAGAAGGATTTATGCTAAGATATATTTCAGTGGGATCCAAATGCACATTGCTGGCTACCACCAAAGAGAGAGAGAGAGAGGTGTGCCTCTGTAGTTGTGGGTGCAAAGGTACCGGTATACCGGGTTACTCACAGTATCTAGTTCTCTGTGGAACTCAGGACATAGGAAACTGCCTTTTACTCCAGCCCAATACTGTCCACACTGATTGACAGCAGCTCTCTCCTGGGTTTCAGGCAGGGTTCTCCCCCAGCCCTAGCTGAAAATGTTGAGGAATGAAACTGGCACCTTCTGTGTGCAGAATCTACCACCAAGCCACAGCCTTTCCACCAAAAACATTCATATTATACCGGGGTTACTGTATTATTATTTTTAGAGGACAGAAGGCAAACACAATGTTAAACTCGGTCTGCAGGGAGCTGAGCTCTTATGGCAGCTCCATAATGGGTGAGCCTGGGGACTGTTCTATCTCAGCCTCAATTCCCCATCTGTAAGAATGGGTTCTAATTTCACATGGTCGTTGAAAGTGTAAGGAGCAATGGGGTAGAATGCAGAATACTTCAATCTCAATAGGAATACATATTTGTTTGGAAGTCCTGCTGAGTTCAAATGGACTTCTCTAAGAAAGTGTACATTGGGGCCATTTCTCTTGCATACTACAAATGCCATAAAAATGGTTAATAATCACAGTGATCTATGAATCCACTCAGAGTTGCTCAAGCAGACACAGTCAAGAACAGAAGGTTATCTCTCTGCCACCCCCAATCAGAATCCATTGGCTGAATCTTATTTGGGATCCATCTGTCGGACCCCAGATAAAGGGGGGTCTTCTGCTTTAAATTATGATCTGAAGCGATCATTTCAGATTGATTTGGGAGCTGCTAATTTATGTGCTCCTGTTACAGATGCTGAGATGATAAAGCCTCACTTTCCTAAATGGAAAGCATGTGTTTATCGAGACAGAATATTTCCTGCATGGAGAACCGATCATAACGGGACTTACCAGGATGTGCCATGGAAGCTGTGCGGTTACCACGTGAAGGGGAGTTGTAGATTACAACAGCTTCTGCACCCTGCGCAGCTGCACGGTTGATCTTCTCCGAAAAAGTGCAGTTGCCTCTTGCGATTAGGGCAACCCATGGGGATGCGGCGGCAGCAAACTCAGTGTTCCAAGTGCAGGCTTGGTGGTTGGTGGAATTGGCAATGACCACCAACCCCCTGGCATCTGCCACAGGAGAGTCCACCCCAAACTGACCGCATTCACACCTGTCACTCTCTGAGGTGTTGTTAAAGGCGTTGAAATAAAGCAAGCTCACATTGGCTTTGACCCCAACAGCATGTGCGGCGCCCAACAGGCCAGTGAGAACCAGGAAGCAGGCAGAGCTGATTTCCCCCACTTCCTTCATTGCTTGATCCTTAAAGCATTTGCAGGTACTTTCCGTTGTTGTCAGTCTGCTGCTTCTCCAAGCGGTCTGAAATTTCAATCCGAGGCAGGTAAGCAACACCACTCCTTCCAGCTTCATTAGATCTTTCATTGCGTCATCTCCATTTCAGTGTACTGTACTTATCTCAGGGGAATAAGCTGCCTGGTGCTAGAGCCATAGTGCAGAAACCTGTGTCGGTAGCCTTCGCACACATGCACACACACACCTATATTTCTGACACAGTTATCCTCTACACTGAATCACATCCCTCCCCACCCCCCTTCATTGCATAGAAAGGGGCTTCCTATAAAGTGGTTTGGCTTTTACATCCTAAGATAAACCATTCGGAATAAACTACTGTATTTTTTCGCTGCATAAGATGCACTTTCCCCCTCCTAAAAAGTAAGGGGAAATGTCTGTGCATCTTATGGAGCGAATGTGTGGTCCCTGGCAGTGGTGGAACTGGGGACTTTGGTTACTGGAGTGGCGGGGGTGTGGCACATTGCCCATGTGAGCATCTTAATGGCGGCACCTGCACAAGGGGGTGGGGAGAGGTGAGGCAGGGGAAGAGGGCTTTAGAACACTCTTTAGAGTTCCCTCCGTCTGAGGGGCTCTGTGACTTGCATGAGAGCAGCCAGGAGCCAGCGCAGAGGAAGATCTTTCTCCCTCACACATTCTGCCAAATTGGGATGGGGAGCTTTTTTCTTGCTTTCCTCCTCTAAAAACTTGGTGCATCTTATGGTCAGGTGTGTCTCATGGAGCAAAAAAATACGGTATATAGCCTTATGGTCTAGCAAGCACAAAACAAGGTGAATGCACCTTATGCAGTACAGTGGTACCTCAGGTTAAGTACTTAATTCATTCCGGAGGTCCGTTCTTAACCTGAAACTCTTCTTAACCTGAAGCACCACTTTAGCTAATGGGGCCTCCAGCTGCCGCCACATCGCCACTGCACAATTTCTGTTCTCATCTTGAAGCAAAGTTCTTAACCTGAAGCACTATTTCTGGGCTAGCGGAGACTGTAACCTGAAGTGTATGTAACCTGAAGTGTATGTAACCCGAGGTACCACTGTATTTAGGAAGGTTAACAAGACTTGGGTCCACCCTCCATCCCCCCCCATGGTTCTGTTAGGTAACTCTAGACTCTGAATCTATATTTTTTTGGGGGGGGGAGATTTGTGTGTGCCTTAGATGCTAATGTGCATTACTTCCCATATTTTGAAATGTGGGAAGATAGCCCTGCTTCAAAAATAATAATTTCTGTCATGCATTCCCTCCCCTAGCCCTTTAAATCCTCATTCCAACTGAAACAAGCCAAAGTGCACATAATTTGCATTTGCATTGTACCATGCTCCTGGTCCCCACCTCACACCGTTATTTCCTCCATTAACCCTGATGTATGGGAATCCTTTGCAGATGATCTCAGTGGAGACAGTCAATCAGTGACCAGACAGCAGTGACCAGAGGAGGAATGAGCTCTGGGAGGAGCACAGAGAGAAGGAACGCCATGGTGCATCTGCATCAGCACGACCAGATGCCTTCACCTGCCCCAGCTGCAACAAACCATGTCTCTCCCACGTCGGTCTCTACAGCCACAGCAGGCGCTGTAACTCTCCATCAGTTTGACTTCACTCCCAAAGGCCCACTCCTCCATTGTCTCCCAAGACAGAAGGAAGCCAATAACAACAAAACTGCTGCATTTAATGCTAACTTTTATTTTATTAAAGATAGAAGATACAGATAAGTCCAGAAAAGATGAATATCGAAAGTATTATATATCATTTAATAATTTGAAATTTTCAATTTGAGAAAAGAAACAATAAAGACTTAACTATCTTATATCTACCTTAACTATCTTATATTTCTATGAAAAGTGAAAACCTTAATACTAAAGGGGGGGGGGAAACCAGTGTTAAGAATTAATACATTGTATAATTAAACTAATTTGTGAACCCTCCCAGCTGTTTTCTTTAAATTTAAATTAGTTTTCTCTCACTTACTGCAAACTACTAAAAAATCTTAATACAAGGAAAAACCCACCACCATATGTGCAGTTCTGAAGTAAATGTATTTGTACGTGTTATGTACTGAGTTGAATAGGATCCAAACTGCAGCAGTCTGATTGGTCCTAGAACAATAGGATCCAAAATGCAGCAGTCTGATTGGTCCTAGAACAATGCAGCAGTATGATTGGTCGGCAGGAGCCACCCAATCCAACTCCAGATAGAAGTGAATCCACAACCTGATTGGCCTACAGGAGAATTCCGGAATTAGCCAATCACGTGCAGCCCATTGTGTAAATAATGTATATAAACCAGATACTTTGAGGGGACTTTCATTCCCTCCTCACCACTATGAGCTGAATAAAGAGCATGAAATCCACTCTCGACTCTGAGTATATTTCAGTACGACATTGCACTTGTCAGTAAAATGCAATACAGATTTGCAAAACAAAGTGTAGCAACATGGAAAACTGTGCTCTCCCAAGGCCCGAAGTTGAACCTTCCACCTGTCTTGTTAAATTACTCTGTGGCCAGATACACTTTGTTAAGAAAGACTTCAACTTTGCCTTCTCCCAAAGAGCAGATATCCAGGATGCAGATCAGAGGTTTTCTCAGCAGCCCACCACCTAGTATGCAAACACAAAGATATGGACGTTAGTACTAAAAAACAAATGCTTAACAGTTGCTTTGTTGTTACGTTCCCAGGAGTATCATCAATGTTACACCCAGAACAGGTAATAAAGCAGAGTGGGGAAGGCAGAGAATCAATCCCTCTTGCTTCCAACATGATGGCAAAGGAAAATACTCTACAGAAAACCAATTCCCTGTGCCTAAAGCAGGGAACAAAAACATCTGGATGAATCCTCCTCATCCAGGTTACTCAACAGCATGGATAAAGTCTTCAGAATTTCAGCTCATTTCAGTGTTTGGCCAATAAATAAATAAACAAATAGGAAGAAAAGGGGGAAATTTCACTCTTGTTTGGAATTATTAACTCAGCATGAAGCTAAATAAATAAATAAATAAATAAATAAATAAATAAATAGCAACTGCTTCCATTTCAGAAGATTACTTTAACACTGGAGTTTAGGGTTTTATCTAACAGACACCCAGCATATATGTAGGCTTCTAGTTTCTGAAATAAAAATTCTAAGATTGACACAATAAAGAATGCTTCCAGTTCCTTCTTGTTTCACATATCCAGGAAGACAGCATGACACAAGGAAAGCTGGCGCTAATAAACAGAAAAGCATAATTTGCGATCTTCTATTAGGTTGCGGGTCAAATATTCAAAACCAGTTCCTTTGCAGACACAATTATGCAGGCAAACACATGCAAAGAAATATGCTCATTGAAGCATTCGTGCACTTTATTGCTTACTGTAATTATTTACAGTTGCCAATTAGCAAATGTTTGGAATTCAGAAGAGCCACCATTTAACAGTGTTGCTATCTCTTCAGGGAAGAAGCTATGCATTTAGACATATACTGTTTAACACTGCAACAAGGCTAGGCAAACTGTACTAGATAACAAGCAATCCAGGAGGCAATTCTAAAATAAAGGTTTTGTATTAAGGTCTGTTACGTGGCAAACCTTCATTTACAACTACGCTTGCTTATTTGGGGGCATGTAAGCAAACCATCAGGGACGCAGGTGGCGCTGTGGGTAAAAGCCTCAGCGCCTAGGGCTTGCCGATCGAAAGGTCGGTGGTTTGAATCCCTGCGGCGGGGTGCGCTCCCGTTGCTCGGTCCCAGCGCCTGCCAACCTAGCAGTTCGAAAGCACCCCCGGGTGCAAGTAGATAAATAGGGACCGCTTACCAGCGGGAAGGTAAACGGCGTTTCCGTGTGCTGCGCTGGCTCGCCAGATGCAGCTTTGTCATGCTGGCCACGTGACCCGGAAGTGTCTCCGGACAGCGCTGGCCCCCGGCCTCTTAAGTGAGATGGGCGCACAACCCTAGAGTCTGTCAAGACTGGCCCGTACGGGCAGGGGTACCTTTACCTTTACCTTTAAGCAAACCATCAATATCATCTAGAAGTTCTTACGAGAAAGTGCCTGGGCAATCTTCTTCTGACTTGAGGTCCCACTTGTGTTAGGCAAATCCACCGTAGCACACTCCATGCCCGCTGCTTGAAGTAAACCTGAATTTTCAGCGTAAGACACAGGCAGGAGGGCAACATCTATAGCTGTGTTGCGATTCATTCCTGTACAAGAGATGGATATATTTTGTTACCATCAGCTAGCATAATGAACTATTTCGTTGTCTTTAACAATCCTTTCAGCACAGGGAAATCGCTCATCCAAATACTAGTGTTTACTCTTTTAATGGCAACCTGACAAAGAGTTGAACCAAAGACTTCAAACTTAAACATCAGAATCTTGATTCGCAATGGCCCAGACATTTCCCTGAAAACATATAAAAAACCACCTATTGCATTCCTCAGTAATCTACTGTTTAGCTGTATATTTGATTCCCCCCAACATACAACACTAATCATTGTGCAGGTAGATACTGCAGATAGATAGATGATAGATAGATGATAGATAGACAGACAGATATAGGTCGATCTGTTCATCTCCCCCATAGTTGTCTCTTAAACAAGTCCAATTTAGGTTGAGATGTGACTTAATTCTGGCTCATGCCCCAACAGCTGATGACCCAACATACTGACTATGCACACAAAGTTTCATCAGTATGCTCTGCCATTTACATACTTTAATACCCTCACAGGTTTCCAACAATATCCTTCTGGGACCAAACAAAGTTCCCTGAATGATATACTACTGATATCAAGCAAAGTGATAATCTCTCTCGCCCTGCCCCCTGCTTCAAGACTTGGAAATTGTGCTCTTGTTAATATAGGGCAAGAAAGCATTGCCCTTCCACCCCACCCCACCCCACCCTATCCATATTCCAAGCTCTTTAAACACACACACACCTTAATACTCAATTTAAGCTCAACACCTGTATTGAAAATGCTGCCATCTAATCAGATATTCTACCTTCTTGTTCTTCCACATTTGGGCCCTCTTGCAAGCATATAAATGAATGTGTCCTTGTTCAGTTTCCTCCCCACATCTTTGCACCGTTCTGCATTTGCTATGATTTTGAAATTGCAATCTATCTAAAATCATTCCACTAAAATGCAGGGCTGGTTTATTTGGAAATGCAGAGGACATTATTTACCGTATGTATTCAAGAAGCATGTGCTGCAAGTTTGAGAAAGGCATACTATGGCTGCTGTCCAAAGAGTTATTTGGGGGGGGGCGGGGCAGGGGGAAATCTCCTGAATTTCAGCAATTACTTACCATATACAGTATGAGAGGCCTGCTGTTTGAAGAACACAAATCCACCACCCCCTCGAATGTGTAGAAGTAAAAGCAGGTTCTTTGGATCCTAGACTATTCCCCTTACAGTTGCTCTATTTATTCTTCATTAACTATGTTTTTATATCCCATCTTTTCTCCCTGCTCTGTCCATTTTATCCCCCAAGCGAACCTGTGGAGTATGTCACACTGTGAGATAAACACCACTCCAAAACCGCCAAGTTGCCTTTGAACCCAGATACCCGCAAACTCTGACCTCTTGCTCTCTCTAACAAAAAACCAGCCACACCATTAGATACATTACCCATTCCCTCTTAGCTCTGTGCAACAACCATTATTCCTTCAACACCCAGACCAAACTGTTAACATTTCCCCAGTGGCATAGCAAGGTCAGGTGGTACCCGGCACGGAAAATTTCTTGTCACCCCTCCCCCCACATTGAAATTATTATTATTTTTTTTGCCTGCAAAAATGGTTTGACTTTATTTCATATTTTGGGGGGGAGCCAGAGTTGTTGAGCCTGCGTGCGCCTGCACTTCCCAATGGGGTGCTGAATTTTGTTTTGCAGAGATGGTGGTTACTTACCGACAATAGTCACTTGATAGTATTCATAAGGACAGGCATACTCAGTTTCATCTTCTTTATTTGGCACATATCTGTATTTGGATGCTTGGAGATTGCACAGTTGCATGAGAAAATCTCCAGTTTCATAATTAAATTTTGATGGAAAGCTTTCGGGGAAAACTCTGCTGCAATGCAAGTGCTGCTCCAAGCGGTCTTTTATTTTATCCCAGAGGCTACTTTCCCAGGAACCTGGTGAACGTTTTGCAAACCAACTATGCTTCTTTTTGGAAGCTCCTAATATGAAGATAGTAAGTGTGTTGTTAATCTCCATTTACATCTATAATATTATTCTAGATTTTCAATAAACCAGAAAAAAACCCCTCCCCAAATTGTGTGCATGTGGAATTAGTACAGCAGCATAGTAGATATAGGCTTTTATTATACATTTTCAAAAGAAAATAAATACAAAGTAGCATTAGCTAGTGTTTCCTGCACTTTTCAAGTTGTAAACTTTCAGAAAATCCAAGTTCAGCAAAATGATTACTATTCCAGAATGGATTTTTTGTTTATTTTACTCAGTTTATTTCACTCTCTTCCATGCACTGCATTTGCTGAGTTTACATGTATAATAAATGGGAATCCTATTTCATTTAATTTATTTTTTTAATGTAGGCTTCTTCATTTTGTTTTTTCTTTAAAATAAGTACAATCATACTTCGGGATACAACCACTTCAGGTTGCGGTTGTTTTGGGTTATGAACCCGCCGAAACCCAGAAGTACTAGAACGGGTTACTTCTGGGTTTTGGTGGTCGCGCATGCGCAGAAGCACTAAATCAGCTGCCTTGTACTCTAGAATTAAAATCTAGGGTTCCATAATGGGGCAGCAGCACTGGCCAGCAGGAAATGTAGAAGATCCAAGCTAGATAATTCACGTATGCAATTTAGCTAACTGAAATCACCTTGCTATTCACAATAACAAGGTAAGACCTTGTAACATAAGACCTTGTATCATATGGGCCTCCGGAAGGAAGATAGGAAGATTCACTGAAATTAAAATGAAAGGTTTGGTTGAAGCAGCAAGGTTATCTCTCCTCCATCATCTCCGTTTGGCATTAGGGAACTAAGCCAGGATTAAAAACCAACACTTTAGCTAGAATTTTACTAACTAAACAACATATAACGTTACTATAAACAGTTAGGAAGGCATATTAAGTTTGTTAAGGCTGCTGGTGCTGCTTATTTCAATGTAAAAGGCCGGCACTCAGATAGGTTTCAAGGAATAAGACACATACTTCTCTTGCACTTCTTTTGCGCTGGAGTCGATGCATCCTGCTCATCTTCATCCGACCTATAAAAACCAAGAGTAGAGTTGCCACTGGGGGATTATAGGGCTGCTTGGCCATATTGCCAGTAATCACCATTTCGACACATAGAACTCTCAGGTTGCGGCATTTTAGTTTTACTGACTAAAGCAGTCACTTAGGTCTCATGATCAGGGCCAAAGCAGACATGACGCCACCTCCTTTTTCTTAACTTCAAAGCAGCTGTGATAGCATGTTTGTGCTACTACATTGCAACTGGCATTAGGCGTAAAAGGTAAAGGTACTGCTGACCGTTAGGTCCAGTCGCAGACGACTATGGGGTTGCGGCACTCATCTCGCTTTATAGGCTGAGGGAGCCGGCATTTGTCCGCAGACAGCTTCTGGGTCATGTGGCCAGCATGACTAAGCTGCTTCTGGCGAACCAGAGCAGCGCACGGAAACACCGTTTACCTTCCCGCCAGAGTGGTACCTATTTATCTACTTGCACTTTGATGTGCTTTCGAACTGCTAGGTGGGCAGGAGCAGGGACCAAGCAACGAGAAAAATCCAATGAAATCAAGAAGTTACTGAGAATCTGCCACTTGTGCTATTTTCTTGCTTGCTGCACTAGTGAAGTATGAATAATCAGTCAGGCAACATTTTATTTAGTAGGCAGCTACTTATTGATAAGGAGCATCGTATGACACACAAGGTCACTTTCTGGAGCCACAGTCCTATCTAGAAGCTATATTGGATTCTGCACATATTCACATGCACCCACAAAACATTAAAAATTTAACTCATTGTTAAGCGCCATCTAAAAAGAGGTGAAATAAATTATTTCGAATCAATCAATCAATCAATCATTTAAATGGTCTCTTTGGTATTGCAATCCTTATGCTTTGAACCTATTCCAGCCCAGATCTAACTACCTCATTTAGCAAGGTCTTTCCCAAATATCTATTCACATCTAACCAGTGGGAACATGGTGCATCTGACATGGTGCATTTGCAACAGCACAACCAGACGCCTTCCTCTGTCCCAGCTGCAACAACCGTATCGGTCTCCACAGCCAAAGCAATCACTGTAACTCTCCAGTGGTTTGATTTCACCCCCAAAGGAAAACACACCTCCAGCGTCTCCCAAGACAGGGGGAGGCCAGCCATGGTATTGCAATGCAAAAGTGATTTCCTTTGCAAATGATAACCTAAGGCATTTTAGAACATTGATGCAGCTCATTTGAAAAGTACACAATTCCCATGCTATGTGTGCCTAATCCTGCTCAGAGGGAAGTCAACAGAACCAGGATTGTGGCCTAACGTAGACAAATGCCAACAAAAACGGAAAGGGAATTCCATTCTAGAGAAATAGCTTACTCCACAATCCTATTCTTTCTCTTCGCTTTACACTTTCTGGGTCCTGTAGGTTGCTGTTCGGGTGGCTGGGAGGTTTGTGCAGAAGTGCCTGCTGCAGGTTCCTGGCTGACCTGTAGAAAATGAACAACGGGAGATATCTTGCCTTATTATTCAAAAACAAAGAATTCAGCAACTTCTAGGTAGCCATTCTTCACATATACACGAAAATATATATGAAGTTGTTGCATACATAAATAACCTTTTCTGACACCTAGGGATTTCAGTCCAAGTCATCCCCAACAGAAAGGAAAGTTATTTTGAACATGTTTTTTCAGTTCATTATAAATCATTTCCCAATGCCCTTTTACCTTTTTAAAATGTCCACCAAATATGAAAGAACATTCTCTCAACCTCTTTACACTTCCAGCACTTATCTGATTCTGTCTTGTACATCTTAGCAAGCCTACTTGGAGTTAGAGACCAACTATGAATCATTTTCAAATAGTTCTCTTTCAAAGAGCAACATGCTGTAAATTTCAAGTCACTTTCCCAAAGTTTCTCCCAGAGGTTAGAAATCTATGTTGTGCCCTACATCTACTGCCCAGTGTGTCACTGAGGCTTTAACTAGTTCGTCTTTTGTTTCGCGTTCTAATAACAAGTCATTTTAGACTATTCTGTCTATCTAATTTAAACATACCATGTAACTGATTATATTGCAAACAGTCCGTAACTTGGCTCCTTAGGTTTTCCATTGATTTCAATTTGGGTCCCCCCCCCCCCGTGAAATGCAGCAATTCCCTGTAGGTCGCCCATTGTCCATCCATATTTACTCTCTTAATAGTACAGTGGTACCTCAGGTTAAGTACTTAATTCGTTCTGGAGGTCCGTACTTAACCTGAAACTGCTCTTAACCTGAAGCACCACTTTAGCTAATGCGGCCTCCTGCTGCCACCGCACTGCTGCCGCATGATTTCTGTTCTCATCCTGAAGCAAAGTTCTTAACCTGAAGCACTATTTCTGGGTTAGTGGAGTCTGTAACGCTAAGCATCTGTAACCTGAAGTGTCTGTAACCCAAGGTACCACTATATTTTAAACCCTAATCTAGATTCAACTCCAGTATCGGAACCATAGGGATTAGTTTATAGGATATCTACAGTCTTTCAAATATGATCTACTAAATAAATTGTTCTGCCTACCCCCCCATTTAGTTTCTTGATTCATTTCCACCTTTTTCTCCACATGTAGAAAGTTTTAAATATCAGTTTGAATACTCTTTTTCTTAAAAAATGGAACATCCACATTAAACTTTTAAAAACCTAAGCCTTTCAAACTCTATTTCTTCTTTAAAAATGTAAAAAAAATGTAAAACATAGTATCCAAATACTTATACTGTTAATTCTCAAGCACCATACCTGTTCTGGTGCCTCAACCGGTGCCTCAACTGGAGCCTCAACTGGAGCCTCAACTGGCGCCTGAACTGGCGCCTGAACTGGTGCCCGAACTGGTGCCTGAACTGGTGCCTCAACTGCATCAGGAGATATGTTGGCGCAGTCGACATATTTTACAGCACCAATTATCCCCCGAATAGCAATGCGTTTGTGCTCCCTGTAGTGCAGTTTTCCAATCTCCTCCCCAATTTCATTGATGGTTTTCAACACTGGATCAACTGCAAAATAATAATAATCCCCCAAAACTTAGCTTTGAACAGAAATTCATCCAATCCACCACACAGTGAACTACTATAACTAAAATGTATTAACTGGAAGTTGATTTGAATAAATGTATTAATTGGGAAATAGTTGAAATTGTTATAATTTGGCTAAAAGTAAACTTAATTTTAAAGAAACAATACTACCAAAAATTATGAATGTAGGATTCAAAAGATTCAAATGGAAAAGCACTTAATGTTAAATTATTACTTTTAAATTGGTACAGATAAACCTCTGATTGATTTTCATTACTGGCCACCCTTAGACTACAAACAGGAAATAAAAGTCCCCACTGCTCACCCACTATTTCAGCACTGCAAGTCCTTGGTACATGTGATATGTGGGGGGCCTTGAGGTCAGAAGTATGTGTTCATCTTAATCTTGCACTAGAATAATTTCATTTTACTGACTCACATATATATTAATGAATTCTACCCCACATTGTGGTACCGCTCCAGCAGGAAGGTAAACAGCATTTCCGTGCGCTACTCTGGTTTGCCAAAAGTGGCTTAGTCATGCTGGCCACATGACCCGGAAGCTGTACGCCGGCTCCCTCGGCCAATAAAGCGAGATGAGCGCCGCAACCCCAGAGTCGGCCACAACTGGACCTAATGGTCAGGGGTCCCATTACCTTTTTATGACTGTTACTGGTATAGTTTGTTGTTTAGCATTGTGATCATTTACTAAAAAGTACAAATAAGTGAATAAAGCTGCACAGAAATATTTCGTTTAATAACATGACTATTGCCAAGTGGCAAGCATGACTGAATGAAAATGCAGAATAAAACACATCACCTCCGGTAGTTTCACAGCACTTCAGAAAAGTGTCTGGGGCTGGTGGCAAAGGATAATATCCGCCAATGAAAGTTTCCTTCGCATGAGAAGTTCCCTCCTGAGTTCTCCTCCAATGAGCAATGCTTCTTACTCTGACTTCATTTTCATATGGCTGGCCTCTGTGCCACTCTGTTAAGAAAAACAAACAAACAAACAAAGGCTGTGAAAAGCCTAATAAAAGTTTAAAAATATTAAAGCAACAACTTTTTATACGTGACTGTGCCAATAGAATTATAGAATCGCAGAACAGGAAGGGAACTCAACAGGTGGTGGCTCCGTGAAGAACATTATAGAATTAATAAATGGTATTGGGAATGTTGGTGATGAGGATTCTAGAGACCGTGTAGGGATAGGAAAGAATTGCAGCAGTTTCTAAGCTGCCTAAGAGGCTCATTGCATGCAGACCAGTCTGTGGGATAGCTCAGTCAGTAGAGCATGAGACTCTTAATATTAAGGTTGTGGCTTCAAGCCCCACTTTAGGCAAAAGATTCCTGCATTGCAGGGGGTTGGACTAGATGACCCTCGTGGTCCCTTCCAACTCTACAGTTCTATGATTCTATGAAGTTATCGTAGTGTACCCTTTCACCAGATATTTAATATTCTTCTGCAACTTCTCTGTGACCCTGGCTTTATTTCCAACACCAGAGATGCAGTACTCTTGCTAGAATCCCACAGATACAGACCTAACACAAGACCAGGCTTCCTCAACCTCAGCCCCCCAGATGTTTTTGGCCTACAACTCCCATGATCCCTAGCTAGCAGGACCAGTGGTCAGGGATGACGGGAATTGTAGTCTCGAAACATCTGGAGGGCTGAGGCTGAGGAAGCCTTTAAAACAAATAAAATAAAATAAATTACAATCAAAAATGAAAAACAAAATGGCTGAAGCCCAAAGGTAAAAGGGGAACAAAAAAATGTGGTTAAGATGTACATGAGCACTTGAAGGTGTATGTTACAAATTGCATGTATTAAATATGAAATTAGGGTTTATTTACCGCAAATAAACATTTGACTTTCATCAGTAGTTCTCAGGTAAGATGGAAAGGAGCCATTCCCTGCAATCTCTCGGATCACCTTCAGGTGTGTACATACGAAAAGTGACCCTGGAGATGTAGAAAGAATGCATCATTTCCCCCCATAAATGTTATTTCATTTCATTTATTTATTTCACACACACTATTCAGTATTTATGTATGTTCAGAACTATCAGGTTTTAAAGCAAAAGATACAAATGGCAGCATTTTTATTGTTATTTATTATTATTATATTATTATTGCACTTCCTACAATTCCTAGCTGCGCTGTGGGTAAAAGCCTCAGCGCCTAGGGCTTGCCGATCGAAAGGTTGGCGGTTCGAATCCCCGTGGCGGGGTGCGCTCCCGTTGCTCGGTCCCAGTGCCTGCCAACCTAGCAGTTCGAAAGCACCCCGGGTGCAAGTAGATAAATAGGGACCGCTTACTAGCGGGAAGGTAAACGGCGTTTCCGTGTGCGGCTCTGGCTCGCCAGAGCAGCGATGTCATGCTGGCCACGTGACCCGGAAGTGTCTACGGACAGCGCTGGCTCCCGGCCTATAGAGTGAGATGAGCGCACAACCCTAGAGTCTGTCAAGACTGGCCTGTACGGGCAGGAGTACCTTTGCCTTTACCTACAATTCCTAGCTCAACCAAACAAAAACTTTTGTTCTACCAAGCAGTTAAAACTATGTGACTTGGTTGTCATTCTCACAAACAGCAGATGAGGAGAAAAACCAGTTACTGGTTTGCATCACTTTAGATGGCATGCATGCCTCCTTTGTGTTGAAAATAGTTCTCTGTATAGAAAATCAAATGTCAGAGATGTTCTAGTCTAAGCATCTTGTGGATGCAAGAGTGTTTTTGTGTAGCAATAGTATCTGCAGAGATAGTATTCCAGCACATGAGCCCTCACCTGCAGTTTCAAATAGTACTCACCAGATCCTAGTTTATTACATTTTCTGCTTGGAAAGAACTAGGTAGCTGAGGTGGAAGATTACAGATTAATTGTGGGCCTTGCAGAAGCATTTATCTGTCCTCTGTAGGGAGCCATATCCAGTACTCAGCCTACTCAGAGCAGGCAGTGAAATGAAGGAAACATGACTGACATAGGTCCATTAATTTCAATGGATCTACTCTGAATAGAATTTAATTGGCCCAGGATGTTGTTGGACTACATGGACCCTTGGTCTGTTGCAATATTGCTCAGGCCCAAGCCTACACATCATCTCCGACTTTTAACTTGCTATTTATTTTTTAAAAGGTCAAAAGTCTTGCTAAATTCCCAAATCTTGCTACACACCTAAACATAACTCTTTGGATTATGATTTAAGGCCATGAAATTTACACCAAAGGTTTAAGCCACTCATAGATAAATGCTAGAGAGTACTACATATATACCGTATTTTTCGCACCATAAGACGCACCGACCATAAGACGCACCTAGTTTTAGAGGAGGAGAACAAGAAAAAAAATATTCTCTCCCTCTCTGCTCAGCACATCTCCAGCAAAGAGAGAGGAGAAACGGAAGGGGCTCCGTTTCTCCTCCCGCTTCGCTGAAGGGGCGCTGCGCAGCTCTCCCTCCCTGCGCATTGCCTCTTCAGCAAAAGCAACACAAAGCCTCCTGAGCGCAGTGGGAGGAGTGCTCCCGCTGCGCTCAGGAGGCTTTGTGTGGCTATCGCTGAAACCAGAAGAGCACCGATCCCTCTTGCTGTTCTGGCTTCAGCGATAGCTGCGCAGCCTGCATTCGTTCCATAAGACGCACACACATTTCCCCTTACTTTTTGGGAGGGAAAAAGTGTGTCTTATAGAGCGAAAAATATGGTAGTTCTCCCTTCAGAAACAAGGGAGAATATATATATATATATAAACCTGCCTGAGCACGATCACACGCAAAGATGCGCAAGTTTCAGTTCCTCTTTGCTACTATTCTGTCAGGGGCTTTAGAAGGAGCTGCAATGGTATTGTCTGCCAATACCCAAAATTAAAGCAAACTTTTAAGAAAAATGGTATTACAAGATTTGGGGTGGGAGAAATGCAGAGATATTTTTTTAAAAAACAAATACTTGGGTGAATTTTCTCAAATATTTCAGGCTGAGATGAAGAAAACAATTGCAGGATGAGATTCTTATCTGAAGTTCCATCAGCAACCAGCACCCAACGATAGATCAAGAAGTCTTCTCCATGCTCTGTAAGGACAACAGAAATGTTGAACATTTTCAGAAAGTATTTTTGAATTAATTGTTCATTAGCACAAAAATATTTAAAAATAACCTGTCTTCCTTGTGCGCTGAGTCCTCCCCACAAATTTCACAAGCCCAACTACATCACAGTGTTCAATGTATGGTGTGACAAGCAGCTTGGATCTGTAATACAGAAAAGTACAAGTGATATTTGCAGCACACAGTAATCTCTCCATGTTTATGAACACAGTGCTCCATCTCTCCAGTTAACCTGAATCTGGACAGGTTGCTGAAGTTGTTGGACTGGTATCCGAAAACAATGGCTTCATGGGAGCCAATAAACTGAGCCTAAATCGTGATAAGACAGAAGTGCTGTGAGTAAGCAGTTCCCGTATCTAGGAATAAGGTGAACAACATGGCTGCACTCCTTCTAGAGGAACAGGTTCATAGTCTGGAAGTGCTCCAGATTCCAATGGCTCACCAGATTCCCAAGCATTAAGGAGTGATGATGACCAATATATGTAAGTTGCTTCATCAGCTATGACTTTTCCTAGACTGGCAAAGCCTGGCCTCAGTTGCCCGTGCTTGAGTGACCTCCCACCTGGGTTATTATAATCCCCATTAATTTATTTAAATATTTATAGTTACAGATAGGTAGCCGTGTTGGTCTGCCATAGTCAAAACAAAAAAAAATTCCTTCCAGTAGCACCTTAAAGACCAACTAAGTTAGTTCTTGGTATGAGCTTTCGTGTGCATGCACACTTCTTCAGATACCTTCTTCTTATCTGAAGAAGTGTGCATGCACACGAAAGCTCATACCAAGAACTAACTTAGTTGGTGTTTAAGGTGCTACTGGAAGGAATTTTTTTTGTTTTAAATATTTATAACGCTGTTCATCCAAAGATCACAGGGTGGTTCACATCATAAACATGCAAATTGGGAACACAAAATACATCATAATAAAACAAAAATGAACCAATAACCCCCGCTTCCACAAAAACATTGAATGCCAAAGGCCTGATGGAGAGAGATGCTTTCTCCTGGTGCCTAAATGTATGTAATGAAGGTGCCACATGAGCCTTCCTGGGGAGAGCATCCCACAAAAAGGGAGCCACCACAGAAAAGACCCATTCTCATGTTGCCACCCTCTGGACCATTCGTGGAAGAGGCACACAAGCATGATTAGTTTTATCTTTCCTGAAAGGCATGAGGGCTTTGGTCTAGTCTTGAGAGTTCTTGTGCCACCAGCTCAGGGGTTTGTCCTTTAAGACATCCTGGAAGCTGCAGCTGGTGCAGAGTGCAGCACCCAGATTGCTACAGCCTGACAAGGCCAAGTGTAAGTAGTCCTGCGGGTGATGCACTAGCTAACAGTGAGCTACTGTGCCCAACTCACAGTGTCAGTACTAGCATGCAATGCCCTAACCAGCTTGGGATCAAAGTACCTGGAAAAATGCCACCCCTGTTGCCAGTGGGTTACACATGGTTAATACTGTCCCACAACAGGGCCTTCTTGGTGACAGCTCCCCATTTATTGAATGCCTTCCCTATTTGAGTCTCCTTCATTAATGGCATTCAATTTTATTTTTTATTTTTTAAAAATCCTATTAAACAAGGCATTTGATGTCATGAGAAGCCTGAAGTGAATAGCCATAAGGATCAAGTTGAACTTTTAAAATGCTGTTAAAACTTTTAAATGTTTTTATTTACCGTATTTTTCTGTGTATAAGACACCCCCATCTACAAGACAACCCCTATTTTTTTGAACCCTGAATTAAGAAATAAATAGTTCTTGAGCTGTTGAGCTGCCAATCCCTCACTCGCCCACCCGCTCGCCACATCCAATCACCCCCCACTGCATTCACTACCCGTGTATAAGATGACCCCCCCATTTTTGCCTACAAAATTTTAGCAAAAAAAAAAGTCTTATACACAGGAAAATACGGCATTTCACTTCCAATTGTATTGCTCTTCTGCCTCGTCTGCTGCTACTTTGGTAGCAAAAGCAGGATAGAAATGCAGTAATAAATAGATAATGCTTAATAACAAAGCTTTTTTTCCTCTGTTACTTTTCCCCTCCCTCCTCCTTCCCACTTTTGTTACATTATTGATTCCTGCCTTGTATATTGCTACAACACACTGTCTCCAAAAAAGAGAACATAAAAAGCCTAACCTCGTGATAAACTCATACTGAATGTTGGGCAATCTCCATTCCACTTTAATGTCGTCTTTTGGAATGATGGTAATTATAGGTCTTTGCCCAGCGTTTAGTGTTAGTTCTAGGAGAAAAAGAAATCAACCGTGAGAACACACATTGAACAACTGAGATCCTGGCTGCCTAAGTAGTTCTGCTACTCCTGTATGCATAACAAACACTGTTATCCCCCAGACTCAATTCTTTGGGTAGCAGAAGGGATTTAAAATCAGATAGAGTGCCACTATGTTTGGAGCTTTTCTGGACAGTCTTCTCACTAAGAAACTATTTAACAACTGCCTCCCTCGGTTTTGCCTTCCAAGATCAACCATAAATAAATAATGTGAGTGGTTATATCAAAGGGAAGAAGCCTGAATCCTTAATGGCAGAAATTCAAAATACAGGCTGAATAGCGTTTGAAGATTGAAGACAGAGAAATGTTAGACTGGAATTTCTTCAAAAGAGCTTCAATGTTAAAAATGGTTTTCCCCCTCCCTTCAATGGAGTAACAGAACGTTAAGAATCTAGCTAACACCCAAGAATGGCTCCGTACTGTAAATGTTTATGGAGTTCTCTAGATTAAGAGGAGGGACCAAGTATTTTGTTTTATGTAGCTCATGGGACTTAACAACAGGTATTTGAAAAGCCAGTGTCAGGGCTACCGACCTAGTGTCTTTTACAAAATGGGGGTCTTCCCATCATGAGCTGCAAAGCCCTAATATCTATTTCTGAATCAATACAGATATCTGAAATATCAGCTGAAATAGTTATGCATAAACTTCACTTAGTCTTAGCAACACGGTACCAAGGAACAAGCAAGGTTTCACTTTCAGTATTACTCTTTAAACAAGTGAGCGAAGCAGTGCTTCTCAAGTTACACAAAGAGAGTTGTGTGTGATCTCACAACAGGAGAGGGACACCTGTGGCCCTCCAGATTTGTTGATCTGTTGTTTATCTGGTGTTATAAAATAATGACATTTTAAAGTGAACTTTGAAACAAAATTACATGCTAATTACAAAATTACATTCCAAAAAGAACTATGAATCTGGGAGATTATTTCATGAGCTTTCCATGAATGCTGTGGGAAGATCAACTCTTCTGTCAGAAATTTTCATTATTTAATTTACATTGTTCCTTGTTAATTTCATATGGCCGTTCTCCCTCTCCCCTATATTATTTGTTATCTCTTCATGATTACACAGACTTATTTAAGATGTGTAAAAAGAAGAAACTTTGTTTCATCAGTCCACTGAGAATATGTTTGTAAATAATAATAATAAATGCCTTAAATTGACAAATTGTGACTTGCACTTCTCTTTCCTCCTAGCCTGAAGAAACATCTCACTTTCTCCCCAATGCATTATATATACATATGTAAAGCAAAATAATTTGAAGTTAATCATACTGGTTACAGAAGGCGTGATGGGGGTATCAAAGACTTTTGTGGCTTTAAGGAACAACAACTGAAAGTTACTATTACACAGCAGATGAAAAGTGTGGTTGACTTGGGACAATAAGGAATTTCATCTTTTAACACTTTTTGGGGGGGACACCAAAAGGATTAAGAAACCCACATTTTTTTACACCTTAGTTCTGCAGCCAAGGCAGTAAATTTTTACTTTCTGTTCTAGGGGCAGTTGATTTTTAAAAAAATGATAGTGCTATTTCCCCCTCAAAGTGGTCAATGTATCCCCTTCATGAACTAGGTATAGAATTCAATGTGCCTTAATACAGTTATAATCAATAAAGAGCCATATGCTTTCAAATGGTCAGTGAAACTAAACATACGTTGCCACCTACTGCAAAAAAACAACAACAAAAAACACACATTGTTGAACAACAATTAATATTCAAAATACTTAACCCATTGAGAACAATTTCTTCTCGCCAATGGATCCAAGAGTTTGCTGTGTTTTAAAAAGACAGCTTCTTTTAACACCATAGTTTTCGAGAAGCAACACAGTGCCAACGTTCATACTCTTGTACCATTCAAAACACAAGTCGTTCCACAGCACCATGGTCATAGAACCGGAACGATCAGCCACAATGAAAGTTGCCTAAAAGAGATTAAGGATATGAGCCACAAGATCTCAGCAACACTGTGGAAGAGTGAAAAGTATTGTTGAACTGCTCTTTCAAAATACCTGTGGCTAATCTGTACTTTTCTGATGGCATGCTCCTCCTCAGTTTATCAGCTGTGTATAAGGTGCTGCATAGGAACAGAAGCCATGCTTCCCCCATTCAGAAGGCTTAAAGTCTAAGGTGGCAACCCTGTGGACATCTGCGCGGTAGCAAACCCCATTCAGTGGGACTTGTATGTGGGCCCAAGTTCTGTGCAGTAGTGCGGAAGCGGTCAAAATAATGGCATACACAAAGTGGAGTTGGATTAAATTAGGCTGCAACTTTATTGCACCAGGTTTGGCACATGGTCAGCCAGCTTGCTGGCTGGCTCAACAAGCTGTCATTGGACAGCTTGGGCAAACCATTATTGAGGTCCACCATAGTGTGAACTGTTTCTGGAAGAGCTCATCTAGTCCCTGGCAGGGGACATCATGGCCTATCAGCCCTTGACTAGGCTTCTGAACAGAAAGCACCACACTCCAATATGGGGGTCCTCCACTGGGCTGAGGCAGGGTGCCCCTCTCTACTAAGGATCCAGCCCAATGCCTCATCCACCACGTGAAAGTTGTGACAGTTGCTATGAGGTAGGAGAAAGCCCATAGGACCCAGCCAATAAATGTGCAGGTGAAATTCCTCATTGGGGCCTGCATCCAGCGACTGACCTCCATCTATAGCAATGCACTTACACCAAAAAAATTCAAACAGTGTGAGAACAACACAAATGGTGAGAATGCATATTATATGCATGGGTGGAAAATTGTTACATGGTTTTAGTAGAAAGGTTATAAAGAACTAAGTAAAAGTGGGCTGTTAATGGGTCAAAGTGTAGAATTTAAGGCCAAATTGTGTTAAGATAAATTATAGAACAAAAATTGAGAAAGATGGAAAGGATTTGCTGAAATAGCTATTTGAATTAGAATACAAAAAAGGGAGGTGTGAGGAGGTTGATGAAACAAGTAAATGAAAGATAAAGATATGGAAATACTGGATATGTTTTTAAATGTTTTGTTTTCAAATGTTTTTGTTTTCTTATTGTTTTGTTGTATTGTTTTTTATTGTGCTTTTTATTTTTGAAGTATTGTAAATGTTTTTATTGTCTTTTTTCTTTTTTCTGTAACTGTTAAACTTTTAATAAATATCATAAAAAAGAGGAAAATTCAGGCAAAGACTATAGAGGGGAGGTTGGGAAAGCCTGCCTTAGATGCTCCTAAAGTGTCTCTTACAACTCTACAGTTATATGAAGCAGAACGGATTTGGAAGTATTCACTTCCAGCCATCTCTGAAGTCTCCCTCCTCCCTCCCACACCCCAGGAGGCCAGCAATAATTCATCCCCAGCTCTCCAGGTAGACCCTGCCCACTTTCCAGCCCGGGTCTGCGTCATGCCAAAGGAGTCAGAAGCAGCCCCCCCCACCTGCACCAAGCTGCAGAGACCTCTCTGAGTAAGCTGAGAATGGCACATTCTGAACAACAGAGCTGGGAGGCAGCACTGCAAATCTAAACTTGGAAGTTACACAGAAACTACTTTTTTGTTATACTTTTGAGTCAGTATAACAGAATCAGAGAATTGTTATACTGTAGCGACTTCTACAAAAATAACAAACCCAAACCTGCACAAGAAAGGCAAGACAAACTAGGGGACACCCAAATTCCCTGACCAACACACCACCAACTGCATGCCTTCCTAAACAACCCAGCAGAAATGGCGGCAGCGATTAGGCCTTTGACCACTTCTGAAAACCTTCTCCTGACAGCAGAGGGACATGGCAAGGGCATGGTACCCACAATATATAAAATACTGCTCCATAATCCTACAACACCCCCCATCTCAATCAAAAAAACAATGGGAGCATGGCATAGGTTACAAAATAAACCTACCCAATGGACTAAACTGTGGTCTCTAAACCACCCTTTAAATTCATCTCAGCAAAAAGAAGGGAACTCACATTGAAACTTATCTATAGATAAATCTTTCACTGCCAACAAAAACCAATAAATGAATAGAAATAGAACCTACCCAAATAATGACACAAAAACCTTGTACATACATTATGTAGAGGAATGAAAGTTTACTACCCCCTCTTCTTCCCTCCCTCGCCCCCATTTATACTGTCTATATAACATCAGTGTCCCACACTGAATATGAACAAACTGTGTGAAAGAACTCTTTGAACTGAAAGCAGAGACGCTGTATGTACTTCTGTAACCCAAGAAAATATTTAATAAAAACATTTTTTTAAAAACCACCATAGAATTGTAGAGTGGGAAGAGAACCAAAGGGTCACCTATTCCAATGCAGAAATGGTATATAAGCTAAGGCTAAGAAGTGAAAATAGGAAGGGAAAACAGGTTAGAGAGAGTTATGGCTTCATAAAGTTGTAGCAAAGAAAGTGGTGTGTAAAAGTGGTAGCAGAAACGCTTAACATATGGCTTGGTAAAAGTAAAATAAAATTAAAAATTAAAAATTAAAAATTAAAAATTAAAAATTAAAAATTAAAAATTAAAAATTAAAAATTAAAAATTAAAAATTAAAAATTAAAAATTAAAAATTAAAAATTAAAAATTAAAAAGTAAAAAGTAAAAAATAAATAAAAAACCTTGCTGATTAGCAATTGGAAGGTGAAAAGAAAGGCAACACATAGGAAGTGAGGTTTTCTTCCAGCCACTAGAAACAGCAAGGGGGGGGGAGCAAGGAAAAAGGGCCTGTGAAAGATGGGTTTGTGTGCTATAGACAAGAGTAATGTAAAATCACAGAATCATAGAACTGAGGAGTTGGAAGAGATCACAAGGGTCATCTAGTCCAACCCCCTGCAATGCAGGAATCTTTTGTCCATGGGAAAAACCATCATTAAAAGGGGTTACAAATAAATAACGTAAGTGATTCATGGGGAGCCATGTAGGGCAGTGTGTTCTGCAGTCTGCATGTTGTTTCAACAGAATTAAGAACACTTTTAAAAACTTCCATTAGCAGTGGCATCATGATTCAGCATTATGAAATTTTGAAAAGCCTTTGAAAGCTGTTTTTGTGTGCTCAGGATATTGAAGAAAGTCTAATCAGAGTAAGGCTCCACAAAAATCAAGCCGTTATATCACAGGTAAATTGTAAATTAGTACAATATGTATTAGCATAGTGGTATATTCATCAATAGAACTGTTTCCATTTCTACCTATATCAAAGCAACAAGATACTCTCAAGATACAGTCAATGAAATAAACAAGGAGATACATTTAACCCAGTTCATTTTTATTTTAAAAAACCGAAAACAAAGCCTGAACTCTAAATAACAGTCATAACAAAATATAATTATATTACCATTTACAATTGTAAGCATGTTAAGATCGGTAGATAGCCTACCTGGTACGGCTTATCAACAGCCAGACTGGGCTTTCCGTAGTATTGAAGTCGCCCCCTGTGGGTTATTTTAATGATAATAGGATAGGTGCCAGTTTTAATCTTATTGCCTATTTTGTGGCCAAAGTCTCTCTGCAAATCTCGCAGAGTTTTAACTGCAGAGTCTAGGAAAACAAAAAGAGATTCAAAAGTGTATAGGTGACATAGTTGATTTCATCAGCACTGCCACCACTACAAAACATATTGCCGCAAATGGATAAGTTACAAATAACCAAGCACTGCTGATCTTAAAAACTGGTCCTGCCAAGTTGGCTATTACTAAAGGTTGCTCTGGTGCTGTCTCAGAAGAAAACAGCCCAAGAATTCCAAGGTGTCATAAATAAAACGAATGAAGTGCACAAGGTGAACAGAAATGCACAAGTACATAAACCACACGTCTAAAATTGTGCAGGAGAGCATCTTGACTCTTAATGACCCTAACATCCAGAATATGCGTATTCCGTACCTATTCAAAGCCTAGAACCGAAAAGCTGTACTGTAAGCCGCACGGAGTGGCTGGGGAAACCCTGCCAGATCGTTAGGGTATAAATAATAAAATTATAATAAAATTATTAAAAGCACACTCTATCAAGTTTGGGTCCCGGTGCAGTGACACACAACACAAAAACACACCTAAATAGCCACCATGTTGGACCAAAATATACCTGAATAAGACAATACACGACACGAAACATATTCCCTCAAATTCAGCTTCTGGGCTTCTCCTGCAAACCAGGCTCTCAACCCAGAATCTGACTGTTCACATTAAGCCAGACTATAGATTGTCAGTGGTTAAGTCTAAGAGACAAATTTATTGAACCCAGTAACAACAGCGGTATATCCCAGACTATCCTACCCATTAGTCCCATGCGTCCAACAACCCACTATTGATGACCCACCCTGCAGCAGTCAACTCACCATCCGCAAAGTCATCTTCTGGATCCTTTTTCCCCCGCCATCTGTCCCCATACGGATCTTCATTATTCCACAGTGGAAGATAATACTTCCACCTCCCCATCAGCGGCACTGGCGGCTTCCTTCTGCGTTCGGGAAGCTGTTGACCCCGGACAGCATCACTTCTACTGGCCGCGCCAAGAACTTCGAGCTGTTCAATGCACATAACCCAGCTATCATACTTCTGAACGAAAGCGCACGAAAGCTCTGTGATTTGCACCCGCAGGCCACAGCGAAGGGCATTTGTCTGCACCAAGCGGTTCAACTCGGGGGCCAGAAAGCATCTCTCCCGGTACACGCCGTCGGAAATAGTCATATCATAGAGGTATTGGAAGCCAGTACGCTTGGGTGCCTTGGTGAGGGACGAGGGACGAAGGCGCACATGCCTGGCGAAAGGATCGGGCTGCTCGGTGGAAGGACCAGGAGTGTCAGCAGGAGCGGCCACTTCTCTAGAGGAAGAGGCACGCGTGGATACATTGCTAGCAGGAATGTAGCTGACGCGTGTCTTCTGGGTGGCATCCTTCAGATACCTCTCGAGAGATAGCACGGTCACCGGCGGAGCGGCTACGAAGGGGGTGACATAGTCGTGAACCACGGCAGCTCGGCAGCACGCCACGAGTATCCAGGAGAGCCGACCCGTCCCGTTTTCCATGTTCCTCCTCCGTTCGTGTGTTTCGGAATAAGCGTCTTCAAGCCATAGCTCCAGCACATCTTCTTCTTCATCACTTGCAATAGCATCCAGCTCTTCCCTTTCGGGGCTGTATGTCCCCATGATCAGACTCTCTGGCCCGCCACACACAGACCTACAACAGCTGCCCAGTCAACTTTAGGCGAGTAAGGCGGAGAAGGTAGCTGTCGGTCTATCTGCAGGACCAAGAGCGCAAGGAGAGAACTTCTTGCCGATTTTGAGAGCGAGCGGGATCGAGAGGGAAAAAAACGAACAAATCTGTCCAATGAGCGGGCTCGAGGCGGAGTTTCTATGATGCTGAAGGGGATGAGGGGCGGGGGGAAGGCGGGGATTCGCGGTGGAGAGCGCCTGTTGCGCTTTATCAGAAAAAGAAAAAAACCCGGGCGCGTTTGTTCTTCTGTTACAGTTCTATGATTCTAAAAAAATTAAAATAAAATAAAACCGCACACAAGAAGGCAGCAGTGTGCTGTTACTGGGGAGTAAGTAGCACTGAACACTATGGGACTTGCTTCTGAGTTGTTTTTGCTCGCATCTTATCAGAAGTAAGCCTTCTGGAGTTCGGTGGAACTTGGCCCCGAATCAGTTTCCACGAGGTTCTTTCGCTTTTTGCCTTTTTGCTTAGCTCAGCTGTCTCCTCTGGAATATGAGAAAGGGATGTTTTAGACACAACAGCATGAAGCGCGTGGGATCACTGATTTAAAAGAGAAAGAGCTTAAAACCGTTTCGGTGTCCTTGAACTACTGACTAGTTTTTAAAGGCAAATTTTTAGTTATACGGAGGTGTCTTTAATATTTTTATTTTTTAAAAAAACCACACAAACCAAACACGATGTTACTTCTTGCACTTCGTCCTCGCGTTTCATCTTAGTTTTGCAAACTGCTCTAGAATCATTTCTGAAAGGTGGCACAATTTTTTTCGTTTCGTTGAAGTCAGTTAAGCAAATTTGAACACTATGTACAAAATATTAAACGGCCGTTGATAAGAAAAACAGAAAAGCATGTTTTAAAAATAAAAATCCAAGACTTTATTCTATCCACAACATTAAAAATAAAGACTATTACATAGCTGGCATTTGTATCCTTACATTGCCTTGAAACTATTTCCCCCCGCAAATTTTCCCTATACTGGCCACTCCACAAACAAATGAACCGAGTTATTTTTTTTTTCAAAATAACACCAAAGCATGTTTTCTGCAGCTATCTTTTTACAGGTTAATTGTGGCATATGTTTTGGTGATTTGGTGCCCAGTCAGGTGTGTTTTGCCTCATTTGGATATATGTATTATATGTATTTGTGAGTAGAAAAAACGGGGAAATGCTAGACACCGGGAACAAAAAGGCTATTACATGCAAGAGAGCCATTTTGTGATCTACGGTATCTGTGTACAGTCCCAGTGTGTACAGGGTAAGCAGAGCGACTATTCTCAATTACTATTGGTAGTAATAGTAGAAGACCTATTCCACTGGCATAGTAAGTGGAACATAGGAGAAGATGCAGGATCCATTCTCGTGGAGGATCTTGATGCATGTTCTTTGAATGCCTGGGAGGGAATATGACCTTCCCCTGCTTAAATCTTCTTAAATTTGCTTTGCTAAGGGTTTATTTAATTTGTATGCTGCCCTTCACCCAAATACAAAACAAAAAGAAACCAATACCCCACCCCACAAACACATTTTAAAAGACATAGGATGTTAATCAGCCAAAGGCTATGGTTAAAGATGAATGATTTTTCCTGGCACCTAAAGGTGAATAAGGAAGGTGCCAGGCAAACTTCCTGGAGGAGAGCATTCCACAAGCGTGTAGCCACTGCAGAGAAGGCCCTGTTCTCATGTTGCCACCCTCTGGACCTCTCATGAAGGAGGCACATGAAGAAGGTCCTCAGAGGATGAAAGCAGGGTCCAGGCAGAAAGGTTCACATGGAGAAAGGTGGTCTTTGAGGTACTGCAGACCTGAACCAGTTAAGGCTTTGCAGGTCAAACCAGCACTTTGAATTGGGCCTGGAAAGTAACTGTCATCCAGTGCAGTCAGGCCAGGATTGATGTGATGTGCTCAAACCACTTTGCCCTGGTGAACAACCTGGCTGCTGGATTCTGCACCAGCTGGTGTTTCCAAACTGTGTTCAGTGCAAGCACTACATACAACACATTGTTTAGTGCAGTCAGGCCAGGACTGATGTAATGTGCTCAAACCATCTTGCCCTGGTGAACAACCTGGTTGCTGGATTCTGCAGCAGCTGGACATTACTAATTTAAGACTCTTAATTTTAATGGTTTTATCTGAGTATACACCATACATTTAAGCACATAGCTTCCCCCCAAGAATCCTTGGAGCAGTGGTTTGTTAAGGGTGCTGGGAACTGCATATTTGTGAAGTGTAAACTACCGTTCCCCATATTCTTTTGAGGAGGAGGAAATGACCTTTAAATCTTGGAGATAGTTGGTACAACTCAGAGAATGGGAGTGATTTCTGTATTGTTTTTTCAAAGCACTGGCTCATGTTGAATACTGTGCTCTTCCAACAGAAATAAAATTGAATTAGGTGTGCTAAGCTCTGTGCTGCTCTAATTATACTTGACATTATATTAGTTATCACCAGAATGTAAGGGTTAAAAGAAATCCAGTTTTCTGCTCAGAATATTGCTTTATTTTTGCTGTTACAAATATACAATTTGGACATTAAAGAACAATTAGTATAAAATAAAAAATTCCCAATGACATACAGTACATAGCATTTATTGTTTTCACTTTCTGGATTCACAGGTTTGGGCTAGAACAATGCAGCTTGCAAAATAAATGTAAGTGCACAATTTATTGCTTTCATTACTTTTTTTACAACAGTAAATTACAAATATGGAGAATTCTTTTAAAAAAAAAAGCAGTTGTGGGAATGACTAGGACATCAGTGTTGCTGGATTCTTATTAATAATTATATTCTCTCCCTAGAGCATTTTATCCTGAATAATTATTTCACTTGAATTTTGTTTTCGAGAAGCAAGCAAGCAATCAAGCAAGCAAACAAACATACAAACAAGAGCAGAGTTTTTAAGGCTGCGATCCCAACTCTGGTGGCCTGAAAATAAGCCCCATTGAATTAAATAGGGTTTAGTTCTGAGTTAGGATTGTGTTAATCTTCTCAAGGCTCCCTGTGCATTTATCCTACCTGACTTGCTTACACAGCGGCCAGATTACGCCTGGTATCTCTTGAACATTCATTCTGATTTGGTAGCTGGGAGGTTATAATGATAATCAACGGTTATCCTGCTTCACTTGCTTGTAATCTTCCCATTGACCTTAAGTCTTCATAAGTCTTCCTGTTAAAAGGTAAAATTGTTGGGAAGGACAGGGAATGTTGTGTCTCGGAAATCCTGAAATGCTGCCAGCTGTCAGTGCAGCCCATACTGGTCCAACTCAGTTTAAGGTAGCTTCCTGTATTCCTTTTGTGTGCAATTTTACTCAAAAGTAACTCTAATGGAGTTGAAACTTGCTTGCAAGAAATTGGGTATGGAATCACTCAGCAACCTGATAATTCACCAACATTTGCCTTTCTATTTTCTTCTTCTTAGTGACATTTCACATACCCTTCCTGACCATTTACCGTATTTTTCGCTCTATAAGACGCACCAGACCACAAGGCGCACCTAATTTTGGGAGGAGGAAAACAAGAGGGGAAAAATTCTGAATCCCAGAAGCCAGAACAGCAAGAGGGATCTCTGTGCAGTGAAAGCAGCGATCCCTCTTGCTGTTCTGGCATCTGGGATAGCTGCGCAGCCTGCATTCGCTCCATAAGACGCACACACATTTCCCCTTACTTTTTAGGAGGGAAAAAGTGAGTCTTATAGAGCAAAAAATACGGTATTCATTTCTCCCTACTGGCATTGATTGACTCTCACAGCGTTGCTCTTCCTAACTGTTGCATTAAGTGTGAACTATGAAAAAACCTCGGCTTTTTGATCTACCATGCTTAGGAATAACAGATCCCTATCAACTAGCTTTTGTTAATCCCATAGCAAAATAATAATGTCTAAAGACTGCTTATCCCACGGCAAACTAATAATAAAGATAACAGTACATATTCTTACACTGCAGTTCTATGTGTTTTCTCAGGCATTGGTCCTGCTGTGGTCAGTGGGGCTTCCTCCTTGGTAAGTGTGTGTAGGGATGCAGCCATAATGTCCAGTTTGTGTTCTCTGCAAGACCTCACAGACTACAGTTCCCATCAGCCACAGCCAGCATTCAGTCAGATATTTAGTCTAATAACATCTGTAGGGTGCCATGCTGGCTATCCCTGCAATAAACCATCATTAACTATTTATCATGAGTGTACAGATTGCTCCTGTCTTGCTAGTGCATGGGAGCAAAAAACCATGATTCTTGGCTTAGTTTGGCAATCGAGCCAGGGCTCACGGTTTGCTTTCCCTAAAGCAAAACCTGATATGCAAGCCAAGGTTTGCTCTTGGCATAACCACTGTAGTTTGCTTGGAGCCAAACAACCACAATACCTAATTCAGATGCAATCGCAGCCAAGGGTTGTGGAGTTTTCCCCCTTCCCACTTGCAAAAAGGAGGGGAGCAAAACACGAGCAATCTGCATGTTCTCAATGAACCATTAACCAAAACTTACAGTGACACGTGAATGCAACATGGAGAAGTGGCAACTTAAATAAAATATTGGGTGGCATGTGGCAGGTAAGCCCCACCCCACAAAATCAATCACGGAACACAGCACACACATACCATTTGAATGGCAATGCCCATCAACTGGGAGGGGGGAGGACTGGCCCCCTCAAATAATTTATGGAGGGAGCTGAAGGGACCTTTGCCTGTAGGAATTAGCTCCTATCGCAGCCTGTATATCTGCTGTTTTTTGTGCGAACTTTGAACCATCAGAGACTTGGGAAAGAAAAGCCTTCATCCCTACATACCCTACATAACCTTTGCCACACATCCCCATACCATCCTGTTTTGTCTACTGATAGTTCTGTAACTCAGGAGGGAAATTCTGCTGTTGCTCTTTGCCCATCCCATAGATACACTCTTATAAGAAAAGAAAAGAAAAAAGTTAGCAAACCAATGGACTGAGCTACATAGGAAGCTGCCTTAAATCACGTCAGACCAGTGGTTCATCTGCTAGTCAACACTGGCTGGGAATGGCTCTCCAGGGTTACAGACAAGGGTATTGCCCTAAACATACCTGGAGAATTCGCAGATTGAACCTAGAACCTTTTGTATGCAAAGCGATTGCCCAACTACAGAGCTAAGGCCCTTTCCCAGCCACGTAGCTCAAAGTGGAGGAATCATTTATCTCATTATGTATACCTGAAGCCTCTGAAACTTTTATATACCAATTACAACTGATGATATTAAATCAACTGAAATTTCCCCTTTTCATTTTAACACATTTTTTTAAAAAAGCATTATAAAAACAAGTTGGATAAGTCCTGGTGAAGTCCTTGGCTTTCAGTGATGACCATTTGTTAACTTAAAGTAGTTTTCTAAAAGAGAAAGCAAAAGATGGTTTCAGAATGTCAGGGTGACTTGCAGCTCTGCTGGTCCTTTGACTGAAATTGCCAAAATCTAACAGATTTCAAGCACTTTCTTCACAAAGTTCCACACTGATTTCCATGCAGTTTATTTGCAGATGATAGTTTCAACCAAACAAGGGCCATTGCAAGCAAGTTCAGCTAAATATCTTAGGAAGTTAGAGGTTTTTGGCATTTGATGATCTGTCTCCCGAAGTTCACGTGTGTGTGTGTGTGTGTGTGTGTGTACAACTGCCTGAGGCAGTTCCCCCGACAGTTCCGAGACATCTTTTCGCATCTATTTGCATCCAAATGTCCTGGAAAATACCTGGATGATCTTGGATAAACTCCTTTCTTGAGTCTCAGCAACTGAGTTAGAATAATGGACTGACTGACTCAGTTAACTCAGTCAGTAGAGCATGAGACTCTTAACCTCACGGTCAAGGGTTCAAGCCCCACGTTGGGCACAAGAGTCCTGCCTTGCAGAGGGTCAGACTAGATGGCCCTCATGGTCGCTTCCAATTCTACAATTCTATGAAATCACAAAAGGCAGGAACACAAACTATGTGACAACACAACTGGACTCCCCTTCTGCAAGTTAAAGGTACTGAAGCAAATCACAACTTTACAAGTGACCTACAGCCCATCCTTGGGAATACTGAGAAAAGCAGTTGAGGGAATACCATTGTCAGCACACAGACAGCTACCCAACTTGAAATTACCACTCGCTGGCAATCAGTTGACTAGGCGCAGTGTTTCCCAACCTTGGGCCTCCAGCTGTTTTTGGACTACAACTCCCATCATGCCTAGCTAGCAAGACCAGTGGTCAGGGATGATGGGAATTGTAGTTCAAAAACAGCTGGAGGCCCAAGGTTGGGAAACACTGGACTAGGGGACACATCAAGGGGTGGGATCCTGTAGCAAACCAAAGAACCCTTTTAAATAATTAGATTTTAAATCATTAGATAAGCTCACAAACCACTTCTGGTCATTCAGTAATGCTCAGATGAGATCCTGATCAAGAAAGAGAATGACTTGATACAAATCTGACACAAATAGCAAGAAGGCCAACCAACCAACTGATGGGTGAACCTTTGACTATCCTAGCCATTCCATCAAGGGCCTCAAAATGGCTATCTCCTCCATCAAATTCTGGGAGGAAGATACAGTGTGAAATTGTGCAATAGGAGCAGATGCAAAAAGCAAACAAACGTGTAATTTCATGAAGCAAAGATCACAGCGGGAGGTTTCCGCTTCTTGTAAAACACGATGGAAGAAATAAAAGGGGC